AAGAAATTAGAAACTCGTGGGGGTATTGCTGTGCTTATTCAGAAGTATGGAATAAATGACTATGTCATAGGGCCAGGAAGTTTATCTCAGTCTAGACAAACTTTCACTTTTATAGATCTATGGAGGTTATAATGTTGAAGGCCAGGAGAGGAGAAATGACTGATAGGAGAGAAAGAGAGATTGATAAGGCAAGTTTCTATCCAGCAAAGGTGGTTTGTATGTGGAGTTAGGATTATTGCCCCGCATTTTCTCTTACAGAACTTTCTTTTTTTAATTAAAATGTACAGAAAAATACAGTTAATTATGTAATAAGTGTCTCTGTACCCACTACTCAGATGGGACAAACATTACAGATAGGTGAGGAGAAAGGGTCTCATGAAAAGTGTGTGTGTGTGTGTGTATGCCCAAGATCCCGAGAAGAGAATGGAGGAGAAGGGGTTGTGCTGTGCCCCCACCCCACCCCCGCCCCGAGGGGTGATTTCTTGCTTTCTGTTCCTCTGTCTCTCTGTCTTTCTGGCGAGTGCATGTGTCCTATAGCAAAAACTTCTCCAACATAAAATAAAATAGAGTCTATTTTTAAAAGTCAGTTGCACATATTCGTATGGCTATTTCTGGGTTCTGTATTTGTTGCATTGATCAATTTGACTATCTCTCTGCCAAAACCACATTATCTGGATTAGCTTTGAATGTAGATGGAGGAAAATGGTATCCATTTCAACAGCTTAATGGTATCCATCGCTGTTCTGCTAGATTTCACACTCATTTTGTGGTTTGTTGTTGGTTTTTCTTTTGACCAGAGGGCGTGGCATGTGCACTCACTAGGGGTAGAGAGGGAATGTGACAGAGCATCACTCTTCTCCATGAGGAATGGTCATACCACAATATTTTCTCCTTCACTTCTTCTTCCTGTTAGGATTTTGGGCATACATGCATGCGTGTTCACCCAGCATGTTTCTCAAGCCACCAGTCTGGGACTTGAACCGTGTAGTTAGTTATGTGGGATCCAACCACCTTAACCAACATGCCATAGGCTGGTCTTCTCCCCCTTTTATTTTCATTGCCAGAGGTCACATGTGCCAACCAGAAAGAAACACAAAGATAAAGAAAGAGAGGGAGAAAACACTCTCCAAAGAAGGGTGGTCATGCTGCAATTCCTTTTCCTCCATTTTTACAACCTGTCAGGATTTTAGGCACACATGCACATGTGTTCTGTGTGCCTGGAGTGTTTTTTTCCAAGCTGCTGAGGTGAGATTCAACCTGCAGTAGGCCATGTGGGATCTGATTCCTTTAACTACTAGGCTATGGGGCCAGCCCATGTTTTATTTTTGATTAGTTTTATCGACTGCCATTTTCTGTTCCTTTTTGTTATGGCCTCAGGGGCAGGCTTTGGGAGGTAGTTGAGTGGGGCAAGGGCTATCTGTGAGTACAGAGCTCAGTTACTGGAACTGCTACTTGTCACCCTGGTCCCAGTCCTTACTTCTCTTTCCCACACTTAATGCTCTGCCTTCCCAGACCCAGTCTGCCCTTGCAAGCAACCCCAGCCAGAAAAGCAGCCCTTGTCACGAGGTGCTTAGTTTCTACACTGGTTTCCCTCTGTGCTTTGCTGGTCTGTCTGTGAGACCTACTTATGGCTAGTTGTTCTCTTTTGTGAACCTGAAACTTGTCATGTTAGAAAAAGTGTTTTGTTTCAGCTTCAGTTTTCCTGAATCTGGGCAGGCCCTTTGGATTATGTGAGAATTCAAATTGTTTTTCAGTTTCAACTCCTATAGAGCCTGGAAGATAAAAAACAAACAAACAAAAAACCCACACATTCAACTGTTATTCATAAAGCAGAATATTAAAGACTTTTTTTTTTTTTAAGAAAGATTTTTACTATAGGATGTGTGTACTCACTGGTGAGACACAAAGAGACAGAAAGTGAGAAATCATCACCCAGGGGGATGGCCAAGTCTCAACCCCTTCTCCTCACTTCTCCACTTGGGATTTTGAACACACACAAATACAAGCCTGGTGTGAATTTCAAGCCACCAAGTGCAGGAGTCGAACCACAATCGACCACATGGGAGTTCAGCAGCGTAACTATTTTGCCATCTGCTGGTCCCTGAAGACTTTCTTATGGAAAAGGAGTATTTGCAGATATAAGCAATATACAAGGGGACTTCAAAAAAGTCTGTGGGAAAAAGGGAATTAAAGTACAGATATTGGTGCAAAAATTTTTTTGAAGTCCATGTGTAGTTTTCACAACGCGCATTTTCCATGAACTTTTGAAGACCCCCACATATTGTTGGTACTGTGAAGCTAAGCAATGAAGGCGACTATCTTATTAAAATGGGGTAACTATTTGGCTTCTGCAACATTCTTCTCTGTTGACTTCCAATGTCTGGAGACAGGCAGTCCACTGGAACTTGGTGGTGAGAATTCGATGTGTCTTCAGCCTTAGTGACACTGCTCTTTCCTTATTGCCTTTCTTGCTGTGAGACTCTTGTTGATTTCAGCCCTAGAGGTTGAGGGCAGAGCTGTTCCAGTTCTCCTGATGAGGTACCAGGGGGCTGGGCGTGGACTGGATTCTGGCCAGGGCCATTTATTCTTGAAGAAATTAGAAACTCGTGGGGGTATTGCTGTGCTTATTCAGAAGTATGGAATAAATGACTATGTCATAGGGCCAGGAAGTTTATCTCAGTCTAGACAAACTTTCACTTTTATAGATCTATGGAGGTTATAATGTTGAAGGCCAGGAGAGGAGAAATGACTGATAGGAGAGAAAGAGAGATTGATAAGGCAAGTTTCTATCCAGCAAAGGTGGTTTGTATGTGGAGTTAGGATTATTGCCCCGCATTTTCTCTTACAGAACTTTCTTTTTTTAATTAAAATGTACAGAAAAATACAGTTAATTATGTAATAAGTGTCTCTGTACCCACTACTCAGATGGGACAAACATTACAGATAGGTGAGGAGAAAGGGTCTCATGAAAAGTGTTACTGACCCAATGAAGATATCCATAGAGAAAGTGTCCCTGTTAACCATCTTTCTGGCCCAGGGAATGTGAAATCACCAAGCCAGGTTAGGTCTGGTCTATTCTTTTCCTCTACTTCCTGCCAAGTGCCCACCATTTGTGGGGAGAACAAAGCAGCAGTTAATAGTGGAAGAGGAAGACAGGGAGAGTAGAGAGCAGAAGGCCCTGCCTTCCTTTCCTACTGCATGCAGGCTTCCGGGCCCCAGATGGTGGAGGACAGAAGAGTCGCTACTACCGGAAGTCGTAGGTGTTGGTTAGTTCAGGGGTAATGCCTTCTAATTACTAAATTGAGACTGTGCTTGTGACTTGTGACGACTGGAAGCCTTTTCCATGATCTAAGAATGAACAGAACAGAAAAACCATGTTTTCCTTCAGGAGTGGGGAAGGTGATCCTCACTGACTCAATATTTAAAGGCAGCAGTGGGAGACATAGTCAAGTTGGGTTTTGATTGCCAGGCTTCATGCTTATTTCACAGCCACATGGAAAACATTGAACCAAATCCAAGACCCTGCTGATATCAAGCAAACTATAATTTTAGATGCTAAGAAGGAAAACATGGCTACATACGATACATTGAAATTAAAGCAAAAATCCAAAAATGATTCACTAAAGATAGGATCAGTATTACTAAATTCCCTGTTGCATCCTCAGGCTTCAATGCACCTCAGCATGATAATGTCACTGATCCTTATTTAAAATTTTGGTATTTTGTGCATTATGCATTTTTTTTCATTACAGTATTATTTATCTTTTCTTTATTTGTCAGGTGTGTATGCTTACCAGAGAGAGAGAGACAGAGAGAGGAGAAAGCACTCCCCAAAGGAGGCCGGTTATGCCACAATCCCATCTCTATTTCTTTATCCTGTCAGGATTTTGGTCATGCATGCACACTCTTAGTAATCTGGAAGAGATAGGGATACGGGAAAAAAAAAGAAGAAAAAATGAAACATGATCTTTTTGCCTCTTTTCTTGCCCATGTAATTGCAGTTGGAAAAAATAGCTGCATCCATTTCCCAAACAGGGATCTATTTAAAGTACTTGCTGGAAAATATCAGAGATGGTCTAATTGATAGCTCAAGACAACACTGAAGAGGGAGCTCTAGTCTTTGAAAAGATTCCAGTTTACTGCCTGGGATGACAAAAGTCCACAATAAACAGCTAAATTGGTGTTTATGATTCTGTTGATATTAAAGTATGAAACGAAAATCTTGTCATGTTGATTTCCTCATTCCTGCCATTTAAAGCAATTCCCTCTAGTACCAATGAAAGTGTAAAAAGAGATTTATGATACTTGTGTGTAATATAATATCTGGTATATAGCTCTCTCTAATTTTCATCATCTTACTTAATTCTCATAATATTTCTCACTCAATATTCAAAACTACCACAAGGAGCAGGCAGGGGAGGTATTGCCCCATTTAATGGAAAGGCATCAGCCTCATTTTTCAGACAAGGCTGACCCAAGTAACATGACAACTTGCTACATAATAGGAACCAGAACTCTATTCTTTTGACTTCAAGGATGGTCCCTTTCTTATACACAGAGCAGTATGCCTCTGAAGATATGGAGAGACACTGTAAGTGGCCATGTTTGAAGGATTGCAGCTATAATCTGAGCCGGTTAGCAGCTGATCTCCCTGAGGCTATATTCAGTCTCCTAATGCTATTTCATATTAAACAGGTTTGGGAGTGAGTCACTTGGCTGGCACAGACCCGCAAAGTGATTGCTTCAGCCCTGCTTGGAAACTCTGGGTCCTCCCTTTGCCTGCGGGTAGCAAACTCAATGCAAACCTCAGCTATAATCTTGCAGATGCTTTGGGGCTGACTTTGTGTTTCACTTGTATAATTTCAGGCTTCATTTAGCATTCACTGTTTTCCCCTTCCATGCTCACAGGATTCGGTACAGAATTCTCTTATGCTGACACCCTCCGTCTATACACATTTTCCTTTGTTTAGGTGATCTTGGAGTAGAAAAGAAGACACGCCCTGCCCAGGGAGATCTTAGTCAAAAAGAGAAAAGAAGCCTTCAACAGCTCAGATGGGCTGTTGCTTGACACTCAGGTAGGCCTTAGGAGTGACAAAATTTCAATTGTTTGAAGAGGGAATTTGGGTTTCTGCTTCCTTCTCTCTAGGACTGAGCCATAGGTTGCCCTTGGTAATTGGTTTGGAGCTATGAAACTGTTCTCCTAAATTCTCCTGGCTTCACTGCTGAAGGGCACCTGACTATCCTTGAGCTAGAGGTCAATGGGGTGAGTTCTCCCTTTGTTGCGGCTTCCCCATGTCCTGATGGAGGTCTGACACAACACTTGAAATGTTTTATTGTGTTATTTTGTGTTAAATGTCTATTTACCCTATTTGACCTTGAGCACAAAGACCATGTATTATTTTGTAATCCTCCAAAATTGGGTTACCTTGTGGCCAATTTCATTGTAGTGTGGTATCCAAGAATAAAACAATTCCAGTGTCAGGAAAATTCACTTGCCGTGTAACACACACACACACACACACACACACACACACACACATGTAATCTGTGATATTCTGGTTCTTCTGGCCTCCTTCACTGATGTGTCTCAAGTCCACCTGTTGACCCACCTACTCCCAGTTTTCACCCTAACTCTAGCCTTATTCACTGTATTCCCTTTCTTTCTCTCGTTTCTCTTCTCTTCATCATCCCAAGACCTCCACATCTCTACTTTCATTTTTGGATCAATTCTTTATGTTTTGGTCTCCCTTGACTTCTTTTTTAAATTATCATAGGGCATATGCACTCACCAGAAAGAGAGAGACAGACAGGGGATGAGCAGGTGGCATGGTGGTTAAGGGTGCTGGACTCCCACATGGCCAACCAGCAGTTTGAGTCCAGGACCTGGCGGCTTGCTTTCTCACTTTCTCTCTCTCTCTCTTTCTCACTCTGTCCCTCTCTGGTCAAATTTAAATCATGAATGATTTTATTTAACTTTATTTATCCTTTTTATTTATTTATTTAATTTGACCAGAGAGGGACAGAATGAAAGAGAGAGAGAGAGAGAAAGTGAGAAAGCAAGCTGCGAGATCTGGGACTCAAACTGCAGTCAGCCATGTGGGAGTCCAGAGCATGTAACCACTATGCCACCTGCTGGCCCCAATAAAATAATTCTTCTTTCTTTAATAATTATTTATTTTATTTTATTTATTCATTCATTTATTTTTTAATGTGACCAGAAAGAGACAGAGGGTGAGAGTGAGAGAGAGAGGAAGTGAGAAAGCAAGCCACCAGATTCAGGACTTGAACCCTGGTCAGCCATGTGGGAGTGGCCAGCAGCTTAACCATCGCGCCACCTGCTGGTCCCCTAAAATAATTCTTTTAAAAAAAAACAAAAAAGAAAGACAGAAAGATGGAGAAAGCACCCCTCCCCCCATGGGGTGTGGTCATGTTGCAATCTTTTCTCCTCCGTTTCTCCAACCTGTAGGGTTTTGGGCCATGTATGCACAGGCACCCAGCATGTTTTTCAAGCTGCCTGGCTGAGGTTTCATACTGCATGGTCCGCCATGCAGGATCCAGCTCCCTTAACCACTAGGATACAGGGCCAGCCCTGCTGTGATTTCTTTCCGTACTTTTCCACCCATTTTTCCTGACTAGTACCACAAAGCTCCAGAAATGGAACACACGAAGAAACCTTAAAAGGGCTAGGAGTGTTGATATAAGGGGAGAAAGAGGCTGTGAAAACAGATATGTTCATAGTCTTGTCCTCATATTTATCTTTGCTTGTGAGAAAAGCAAAGCTCCATGCTTAGCACATGTTCGTTTTTTAGTAAATGATGAAGAATGGGTCAAGAATAAGTAGCCTTTACTACAACATATAATTAAAGCTATCCTTATAAGTGCCAACCCTTTCAATAGTTTAGTCTCACACATCAGGAGGGTTTGGACATAAATTTTTGGCTGCTTTTAAACTTACAAGTGGAGGTGCTGGTGACCTGAAGCTAATCTCCATCATAGAGGAGGCTAATCTCTTTTAAGCCCACTTGTGCCCAGTGCCTAAATCACTGGCATCCTAGGTGGTGTGGGAGGGTGAAAAGCCTTGTGTTTGTAGGTCAGTCAGGTAGATCAGGCCTACTTCATGCCTTGATCCTGCCGGCTCTGTTCCCTGAGTCTGGGCCCGTACTCCTATTCCCCTGTGCCTCAGTGAACCTCATCTACTCAGTGCCCCTGACTATTTACTCCAGTTCTTGAGTAGGCTCTTCCTGTGGATCCAAATTCCCAAGTCTATCGCATTTGGCTCAGATTTTTTTTTTTTTTTTGGAGAGGTTTTTGCTATAGGGCGCGTGTGCTCACCAGACAGACAGAGAGAGACAGCAAGCGAGAAATCACCCCCCGGGGGGGATGGTCACGCCTCAATTCCTTCTCCTCCATCCTCCTCTCAGGATCTTGGGCATGCACGCACAGGCACCTGGCGTGAGTTTTAAGCCGCTGGGTCCGGGACTCGAACCGCGGTCGACTACGTGGGAGGCCAGCGACATAGCCATGATGCTAACTGCTGGTTCTCTTTGGCTCAGATTTTTTTTTTTTGGAGAGGTTTTTGCTATAGGGCGCGTGTGCTCACCAGACAGACAGAGAGAGACAGCAAGCGAGAAATCACCCCCCGGGGGGGATGGTCACGCCTCAATTCCTTCTCCTCCATCCTCCTCTCAGGATCTTGGGCATGCACGCACAGGCACCTGGCGTGAGTTTTAAGCCGCTGGGTCCGGGACTCGAACCGCGGTCGACTACGTGGGAGGCCAGCGACATAGCCATGATGCTAACTGCTGGTTCTCTTTGGCTCAGATTTTTGTCTTTTATTGTTTGCCCCCTTTTGAGCTCACCTCTCCCATATCTATGGTGTTATTGCCCTATATTCCGATTGCTTTTTACGATCACCTAACAGTCACTTTCCTAACCCTTGCCTAGATGCAATCTTTAACAGCTGTTTTTTTCCTATAAGATTCAGGATCTCAGTTCTAGATAGATGTGATTCATAGGGGAGAAGTAAGTGGAAAATGTTGCTCACCTCTGAAGAGTAAAACCTGCTTGTCATGGCCAAAGCTTCCTACAGAGAGATGACTTGAAGGTTAGTATCAATACACTTTGGCAAGAATATTGGATATAGTAACTCTTTATAGTTTGATATGAAGATGTATTTCTACACTATGATAAAAGAAGACAAGTGGTAAGATTGATGGAGAGTGAGGATGAAATGGAGATAATCACTTGAAGGTATTATAAGAGATGATTCTTTTAAAATGGCCTAGCTGTAGTGGCTAGGAGCTATAGCTCCACTACTTGGGAGGCCTGGCTTATTTCCAGGTTAACGTGAACATACACTACTTGGGAAGATAGGGTGGAGAACCATAACACAGTAAGACCCTGTCAAAAATACCTATCTCGGGAACCAGCAGTTAGCGTAATGGCTATGTCGCTGGACTCCCACGTAGGTGACCGCGGTTCGCGTCCCGGACCCGGTGGCTTAAAACTCACGCCGGGTGCGTGTGCGTGTGTGCCCAAGATCCCGAGAGGAGAATGGAGGAGAAGGGATTGCGACGTGACCATCCCCCCTGGGGGGTGATTTCTCGCTTTTTGTCTCTCTGTCTCTTTCTGTCTGTCTGGCGAGCGCATGCGCCCTATAGCAAAAACCTCTCCAAAAAAAAAAAAAAAAAGAAAAAAAGCCTATCTCTGGGCCAGCAGGTGGCATGATGGTTAAGGTGCTAGACTCCCACATGGCTGACTGAGGTTCGAGTTCCAGACTGGGTGGCTTGCTTTCCCACTTTCCCTCTCTCTCTCTGTCTCTTTCTGGGAGTGCACATGCCCTATAGAAAACTTAAAACAAATAAATAAATAAAATAAATGAATATTTTTAAAAGAAAAAAAATACCTATCTGTATCTCTTTCTCTTTCTCTTCCTCTTTGTCTCATAAAGGAAAAAAAAAAGATGAAGTATCAAGGCAGTGCTGAGAGGAGAAATATTTTTTTGGATAATCAAGTTTTAAATTGTGGCATGCCAACTGATGGCATGATGGTTAAGGTGCTGGATCCCACATGGCCAATTTTGAGGTTTGAGTCCTGGACCAAGAGGCTTGAAAAGCATGCTGGGTGTACGTGCATGCCCAAAATTCTGAGGGGAGAATGGAGGTGAGGGGATTGTGGTGTGGCCATCGTCCAGGGGAGTGATTTCTCACTTTCCCCCTCTCTGTCTCTCTCTGGCGAGCATCCATGTCCTATGACAACAAAATCTAAAATACTTACTATTAATAATAAAGTTTTAAATTATTTCTGATTAGGATTCCATTGTTCCGATACTGTTCAAAATCTTAACTGGGAGATGATGTTCATCTTTAGCTCTTTGAAATCTAGGCAACATTTACCTAAAGGCATCTGATGTGTTTTTGTTCAGTTTTATTAGACACTGAACATTAGCCAGAGCCTGGTAGAAAACCTCAAAATGATTTTGATACTGTAGACCTTTGAAGTGTTATTTTATTAATGGTTCTTTTATGCAGAACACTGTGATTGCTTTCATTGTTCCATTTGTAGATAGACTCTCAGGTGTTTCTACCTTTGAATGGAATGATGAAAGATAGCGGCGGGCTGGACAGTGTGCAGTAGTAAAATGCCATGCTCTGCCAGGCTGGCCCACACGAGAGGGTGTCAGGCTTGTATCTAGTGACCTCCCCGGGTATGTCCAGCATGCGTGTGCCTGTGTTCTGGGCTGGCTGACACCAGATCATGGCAGCAAGATCCTGTTGAAGGTTCATCCTCTCTCTTTATCTCTCTCTCTGACTCTCTTTCAGGAAGGTGACGTAAACTAAAAAACAAATGTAGAGGTAAAATACTGGTTTAATGGGTAGGACTTAAGTAGGTGAGACAATAAAGGAAGATGGGAAATTAATTAGGATAAATTAGAAAGAGCCTTAGTGCTCAAATGTAGTTGTTTCTGTTTGTTTTCTTTAAAGGAGAGAACTAGAAAACGAACTGGAAATGGTTTTTGTAGGCTATTAGCATTTAAGTTGACAGAGCAGAAATAGTTCTGGGTAATGATCACATT